TATTGACACAATGTCATCACACGGTTTCTGCAGATTTCTTGGCTCCACATCCATGATGAGAATCTCCCGTTCCTCCACATCCCAAAGGCGTTCTACTGGACTGGGATCTGGTGACAGCTGTCTTCTGTTGTCCAATCATGGCGTGCCCATGCGAGGTTTCCTGTTCTCAGGTGACAGCAGTGCCACAGCAGTGGCATTAGGAACGGTTATTTGTTGCCTTCCTATTAGTTCGAAGCAGTCTGGCCATTCTCCTCTGGCCTCTGTTATTAATAAAGCTTTATTGCCCAGAGAAGTGCCGCTCATACTCTCTCTTTTCCCAACCACTCTCTGTAAACCCAGAGGTTGTGTGAGACCAACAGTTATCCTATATACTCAGACCAGCCGTGGCCTTACATTGTTGCGTTCAATGTCACATATTTGTCTTAACATTCAGTTGAACATACCTAATAAATTGGCTGGGGTGTGTATTTATTTGCTACAGTTTGAAAATAGACTATCAAGAAAAGGGTTAAGGACACAAAGTGAAGCCATCGGTAGTCGCCATAATCTTCTAGACAACCACATTCCACTAAGTCCTATAAAAATGTACTAATACTGAACATTTAATACATTCAACAGATAAACTCTGTATAGAAACACTCATTCATTGTCATAACCTTTCAAAAAACCGCAAAGAGGTTATATAATTTTAAGTGAACCTTGCAACAAATATTATTACTGCAAAACAACAAAAACCAAAACAGAAATATTTCAAATCCTGGCTCCCTGCAGCTAAAACCAGTTGATGTTTCGGAATTTCTTTCATTACATAAAATTGCATTGTCGGTTTGTTGGTGTCCTGTTGCATGGATTGTTGTTTACGCCACAATAATATCAGAACAATGATTCTTAAAACTTGTGGAAGCGTTGTTTACCTCGTTGCTTTATCGTTACATCGTCTGTTTAGCATCGCTCGAATCTGTTAGAAATCTTTCACACGGGAACTCAAGGAGACTGTTACGGCTTTACGAAGGTCACTGTTTGATGAGAGTCCGTTGCACCTGCGTGTACACGGATGCACTGCAGAAACCAGGCGAGAAACACGAGACTAAACCAACCCGAGCCTCCCTTTCTCTCGCACAACCTCAAAGTGCAGCTATAGAGGTCTCTCACATGGTTGTGATCTTCAGCATATCCGCGGGGTCTTTGTGTGTGTGAGTGTGTGTGAATGTGTGTAAGTCATCACTCACCACCTTCTAACACTTTACACAGCAGTCAGAGTAGCTTTAAATGTGTCTTTTAAAGTCAAAATATCTTCTAAGAGGACTATGAGAGCAGTTCTCCCCTGCAGACTAAGTGCTTTGCTGGATTCGCTCTCTGTCCTAGACTTATTAAAACAACATGACTCAATTATAGTCCCGACTTAAGTAATCATGTTTTATGGCAAAACCACTATTATTATGTATGTCTGACTGACTACTAACTCCACGAAGGAAGTCTGTCTTGCAGGTTTCACTTAAGATGTGCATTGATTTGTGCTCCCAAGCTCTCGAGCGTGCACAGGCCTACATTACTGTCTTAAATGTCTATACACACTGTAGAGACTGAACACAAACCAGCCTGGCCCCCCTTTGATCTCCGCTGTGATGGCAGAGTGCTGAAATAATGAAATTGTAATAACAGAGTACCACAACTGATGCCGGGACATGTTCGTTCAGGCATAAAGATTAAAAGAGGTGCTTTTTAAAATAAAAGATCTCAACAAGCAGGACTGATGAAGAAAGTACATTTGTGATCCAAGAAAATATTAACAAACGTCCTCAGCCGAGTTTCACCTCGATGCTCTTTGAAGAGCAGTTTGACAATTTGGAAAATGCGTTTTGCTTTCATGCTGGAATTTTATAAGCAGACTGATGCCGCTCTCATGTCTGAGCATGAGCACTGAGGAGGTTGGCTGGGATTTACCAGCAACTTTTAATTTAACACAGTCTATCTGATCTCGAAAGTGCCACACAGGTCACTAAGCAAATGGTCTCCGCCTGACCCTTGAATGAACTTTGACCTCCAGCACGTGATGCAGAACTGACCCTTTCTGTTTTGGCTGTAATGACCAAATGCATCACTGTCATCCTAACCTAACAAAGAGAGGACACACCCTCTAAAACACACGGGCGCCTTATGAAACCGAAGCCTCTCCCGATGCAGATGGTATACGCGTATTGGCACATGTGCAGGAGCTCCGCTGATGTTTTGGGTCATATTTATTCCTGGCACAGGGGTTCAGAGAAAGCGTTCTGGGGCTGTTTTACTCAGAAAATGGTTTGAGAGCCAAACTCCTTTAGCGGGACCAGATGTTTTAGTTTGTATGTACACACACAAACTTTGGGTTCAGGATTGTGGTCCGCTGAAATTATCATATTCAAAAATATACACTGTGATCACGTCAAGGTCGCTGGCCCCTCAGAGACACCTGATACTACTTTAAAATTGCTTCAGTGCACAGCAGGAGGGAGACATATATATGCTAATTAAAAATCAAGAGGCTGGAGTGCAGAACTTCACGTCATTATGGCAACTTTGCTTCACAATAATCAGTCCGGCCAGCAGACTAAACATTTAGAAGAAAGAGATTTTGAATGTAGGTCTGGACAGCGGGTCGCTTCTTATTGTCAGTGCACAGATTAAACAAAGTATGGGCCAAAGTTTTTATCTGCAGGAAGTCAATGTTATCAAACAATGATAGCATTTCTGCAGACTTCCAGGACATGACAAAAGCATTGTGTTGTAAGGCAGGGATTGTCAGAGTATTTTTAGTAAAAGAAATGCACAATTTATAAGAAGTGTGCAAAAGCTGTAGAAAAAACTGATCAGTTAAAGGAGGAAGCAGCATTTCTTGAGTTACAAATTCAGTTTAGACTTCTTAAAAGTTAGATGAGAAGTTTGATAAGCCCTATCTTTAGCCACCAGCTGAATGCTCAACACAAAGACTGAAAAAACACATAAAAAGCTGAATAGCCAAGCTCGCTTCCTGCCATGTTAAACCTTTTTATTCAGTTCAATTTGCTTTATAAAGCATCATAGTTTTTTTTAATACATTACCAAAGAATACTAGGTTTCAAAATCCCTGATCACACCTTCAATCAGCAAAATTACTTTTTCCCTCTTCCAGAAGCACAGTATATGCTCTAATCTAACCAGACTGAATGTGTGGTGGGAGTCTAGTTTCTTTACATAGCCTTAAAATAATGTTAACGTTTCTCTCTGTGGTTTTCAACATCACTCAATCCTCACAGACTTTCATGTTTGTCTCAAATAAAGATGTTGACAACCTTCCAAATTGCATTAAGGCTTAAAGTTATACTGCTGCTTTAAAACTCAGGCCTGTAACTGACATCTAGGCATCATCTCAGCTAATTTGAGTCATTGAATACTCAGCTGTCTTTGTGTGGTTGTGTTTAGCAGACATCTGTACCTGTGGGATGCATCTTACAAACCAAACTAATGCCAGTAATTTCTTTAGCGCTGCATCTTTTTGTCTAAACGCAGTTACACGTGGCTCAGAAAACCTCAGATGGTGAGGGCTAAAATCAGAAATTCAAGCTTTCAAAATGGGTGAGGTGACTATCTTTTATATACAGTCTAATGAGTGGAATATCTAAACCAAAGATTTAACGTTTTTATGGCATTAAATGTACACGTTTTTCACATTTTTCCACAACAATCAGCCTCACGCATTTTGCATCGTAAGGGTTTCTACTAGAATTTAGAAGTTGGAAATGGACTGGTTTATATGGTGCCATTCTAGTCTTATTAACCCGTCAAAGTGCTTTAGACAACAAGCCACATACACCCATGCGTTTGAACTGTGGGAGGAAGCTGGAGGAAACCAGTGCAAGCACAGGGAACAAATGCAAACTCCACACAGGACCAGGGGATTTAAACCATGAACCTTCCAGCTGTGAGGCGACAGAGTGTTTGAGCACACCTTTGCTGCATGTAATGACAGCAGAACCAGATCCAAACTACAAATGTTCAAACGATTATTAAGCTTGATTTCCATCTGCTCTATTAGTTTCTTACTGAACGACATAAATCTTTAATCCCACACATAATCTTTGCTCATTTGCTCTTCTAGCCTCCGACTTCACTCAACTCGGTTTCACTGACAGACTGCATATAATTCATCCTGTGCTGGCTGAGGCGATGTATTCTTTTCATGTACAGAGGAAGTGTAATATCCTGTTCCTGCATGAGCTCTAATACCACACTGAGGCAGAGTGGCCCCCGGCCTTTCAGGGGCCTGAATGCTCCTGAAAACTAAACTACAAGCCTTTTGAGACTGTGATATATGAGGTGGCTCTCTGTCTTAGAGCTTCAGTAAAAGTTGAGCCTAATGGGGTCCCTTTTTTTTTAGAGCACGGGAGGGGATGGTTCTCATTTCAGTGGCAAATGTACCCTGCAGCGGAGGCTCACGCATTTTAATCGGAGTCATTGTTGTGAAACTCCGCTTTCAGTGAGAGCCACAGATTGTCTGCCAGTGTGCTCTGGGATCAGCGTCAGAGCTGTCTGTGTCACCAACTTGCAGTGAAGATGAAATTAAAGTAATGTAATACCAATAAGTAAGAAATCACACGGGATTTATCAAAACGCGTTCAAATTGTTTGCAAGTTTGTGAGCAGGAGACGAATCGGGCTTTCCGGGGAGGCTTTGTGCTTGTTTTAAAGATACATTTAAAAAAAATCTTGGTTGTTTAGGAATCACCAACTTTAACAATGAAAAACCAGAAAGTCAAATGGAAAGGTGAGGATAGAAAAAAACGCAAAGGTACAATGTAAAATAGCCCACGCAGGGTTTTTGCAGGGGTGCCTCTGAGACCCTGAGCTTCTTTCTCGTTGTAGGACTGCAGGTAAATCTTCCTCCTGCATAAATCTTGGGAGCACTCTGACGTATTATTTTGGTAAACTCTGTTTGGCAAGCAAAACACACGCACACACCTGCGAACAGTCGGTGGGAGGTCCACCTGTAGGTCCCAGCAGCGGCGGAGGCAGGCTGGTGAGTCCTCCTCCTTCTGCCACCGTCACCATAGCCGAGAGAAACCAGTCGGACGTCCTCTGCGCCTCCGGTTCACACATTGCAGGATTCAGACGCGCAACCGGAGGAATGCGAGGCAAAAATCGGTGTTTATTTGGACTTTTGGATGAGAGAACTTCCTTTTAACGCGTGCGTTTTGATTTCGAGAGTCTCCGGAGCCCATAAAAAGGCTTTAAAATGTCTCACCAGCAGCGACTTGTTCAGCTCTCAGCAGCTTCGCTGGCTGTAGTTTTCGGCCCGGATGAGGAGAGTGTGCGCGCCGGCGGAGGGAAACTCGGCGGCACCGGTGCGAACGGTCAGGAGATTTTCGATGACTTTAAAGCGCAAAACTCGCGAAGTTTCTGGAATAAGAGACTGGTCAAGGCTATAGCTGAGGTGTACTTTCAGGGATGGATGGAAAACTTCGTGCTTTTCATTCAAGGCAACGCCAGCAACTTGGAGGTGCTGAGGGAAGCGTGGATGCGCAGGGCTTTGAGGTCACCGAAGGGATTTATCATTAAAGCTGTCGGTATGTGAGCGAAATGTCCACAAAACACACTTGAAAGTATTAAGGTAGAAGCAGCAGAACGTGTGTATACGCCACTGTCCCGTTTGCAATGCAAATAAGGTGATAGGACTCATTCAGCGCAGTGAACAGCTTCTATTCATGTAATGGCACAAGGTGTTTTTTCTTTAAAGGGGCTCTTTATTGTAATCACACCACCAACAACACGTTTACCACCCTGAGACAGATGTGTGAAAGCTGTAAAGTGTGACTGACACAGAGCTGGCGCAGTGGAACTCCACAAGTTGTAGAAGTTGTAGCAATAAAAGTGGAGTTTACATTATTTTAAGTTTATTATTGTAGGTAGGATCTCTAAAGAGACAACGTGTTGCCTGCTTCATCACTTTGATCTGTTCAGTTTGCTTGGAAGACTATGTTTCTAACTAGACCCCCACCCCACCCATCAAACCCCTCAAATGTCTGGTGTGTTTGGGAGAACTGCATCCCAAATCCGTCCTTCCTCTGTTACTGACACAGTCATATGTTTACCCCAGCTTGTTAACAAACCTCCCTGTAATTGCTCCTAATTGCCCCCCTCTTCTCCAGCTGTGATTTAAAGCAGCATATAGCGACACAGAAACAATGGAAATGGGGCAGAAACCTTTATGCAGCCTCCTATAGCATGATCTCACAGGCTGTAAATGTCTGACAGCACTGACCCCTGGAGAAAACGACAACCTTGTGTGGATTTTAGAGCTAATGACCTTATTCTTAACAGATACGTTCTTTTTTCCCTCCTTACTTTAATCTGTAGGTTTTTACAAATAAATGTGTGGGGACTAATACGTGACCACTTTTAAAATTACACAATTATGACATGAAAGTTAAAATCTCCAAAGGGTGTAGAAGGTGTTTTTCCAAATCTTGGCTGTTCGGGCAGTGTCCCAGTGTTGCAGCTGCCTTCCAACAGCTTCCCGGCTGCTTGCGGTACTGACGTTTCCCGGTCTGTCTCCAGAGTAGTGCCTTTTGTCTGGATGTGTGCCTTCTGCTGTCTTACCTGCTGACTTTGCGTCAGCTCTGCGAGACTGAGCAGTTCACAGACAAGCAAATGAAGGAATGTGAAGGGGAGGAAGAGACCACACAGAGGGAGACCCTGGGAGGGCGTGGACTGACTGAGAGAGGGAGAGGGTGGAGGCTGACATGCCATCCCACTGAGCAACCCCTCCTGGCCCTGACAAACAAACACCACATGGGCCAAAGGTGATGTTGCACCTATTGTTATGCACGGCCCAAAAGGTGTGCACGTTCATGCGTGAGCTCGTGTTCGAATGTGTTCTCCACAGCAGATGCAAACACGTCTGCGTGTGGAAATACCACCTCCTTCTCATCCTTAACAAATCCTTCTCCTCACACCGCAGAAATTTGTATGGAAATAAGCTCTGGCAGGTTGTCAGAGCCTGGTTTACAGTCTTCTCGCTGAGAGCTGGTCAGCAGTGAATCACTGAGCAACTGCCTGCCGACCGCAGCCGCTTTTCTGTTGCCCAGGATTAATGTCCCTCCGTTTCATGGCCAGTGTGGGACTGTGGAAGTCAGACTCCTAGATTGATATCAGGCATGGACTTAAGGCCTTGACATTGTCCTGATATAAATATGTCAGCTCGAAAACACAAAATGTTATAAGTTATGGGCTACAGTGAATTTCAAATAGCCCTATTTCCTTTCTCAGGTCAGAGGAAGGTTCAGACTTTACTGCAGTGTGGACGTTTTTTGTGTGTAAGGAACGCCTAATTTAAGAGATGCTCAGCTGAAGCTAACCAGATGTAGGCAAAGTTAGTTAAGATTGTCTAAAAAGAGACAAAGAAAGAGCGACGCAGGTGACATAGATGGTCCTGCCTGGTTATCTGTGCTGATAGTCTCAGTGTAGAGAGATTGGCTTGTGGTCCCATCACACACTCACCCACTCCCAGGCTTCTTCTAAAGGAAGACGCACTGGAAAGGCGGGGTGGAGGACGGGGATCGTGGTGAGGTTAGACTGAGGTAAACAATCAGTGTGAGAAGTTGGTATGGAGTGTTATTAACGTGGGCAATGGACCCAGTGGAACTGAGGATCTCTGATTAAACTAACTCTTGTCTGCAGGGCATTCTCTCATTCTTCATCCAGTGTCCTTCTGCAGGATAATAGCACTGTGGGGTTAGAGGTGGGGATAGCTCAGTAGGTAGAGTGGTGGCCCCATGATCGGAAGGTCGGGGGTTCGACTCCACTGCTACCGGCTACCCTGAGGTACCCCTGAGCAAGGTACCGTCCCTACACACTGCTCCCCGGGCGCTGCATTGGTGGCTGCCCACTGCTTCACTGGGTGAATGGGTTAAATGCAGAGGAACTATATCCCTATGGGGACTAACACGCACACTTATTTATACTGTAAAACCAGCTCACTTATGACTAGTGTGAGGATTTAGTTTACTGGAAATGCAGCGCAGTTACAGTACCTCAATTATCACCCATTTATGACATGTGCTATATTTACTACAATTTGTGTGGATAACATCTATTGAAATGGCTGCAGGTATTATGATGCTTAATATGTGGAGCTGGATAAAGCACCACAGCTGTAGTTTTTAAAGACTATTCCAGTAAAGGGTGATCTGGAACTACATCAAAATGGAGTTGTAATCAAGAGGGAAAAAAACAAGACTGTGGGATCTGGAGATTTTTTACACCACCTCAACAGCTTGTTTTTTGTTAAAGGGACGGTTTATTTTCAATCAGTGAGTTGCCTTAACGGAAAATGCCTGTCGTGGGTTAAACGTGCTTGAGCAAAGCATTCGATAATTAGCTCTATACCTTGACTGTGGAGCTAGAGTGGTTTATCTAGACTTGCATAAAGACAAAGCCTAAAACAGTCCAGATGAAACAAACAAGCACATCAGTTTGTGGGTACTTTTAAGAATCTTTTCAAACTTCAGGATGAGCAGGCTTGCTTCTCCTTACTCTTTCTCCGTAATTAAAAGGAAGTCAGTGTCATGAAATTCTCAGTAAGAGGGTAAAAAAGTTTTTTTTACTCCCCCAAAAAGTACAACTCTTAATTTAATCCAATTGTAGCTTCTTATTGGTCATTAAAATGCTCAAAGCACGTTGTTGGCTTTGTTTAAATTTAATTCTTTAATTCTCAGCGGTAAACCACTCCAGCTGTCCCTTTGAAACCAGAGGCTCGGTAATGACTTTTAGCTGGTTCTGCATTATTTAGCGTGCCACTATTGTCCCCCGCAGCAGGATGAGCATGGAGACACAGGCTTAAACATTTATATGGAGTAAGCCACCGGTGTAATGAGGTGTTCTGTATCCTTTCTACTGTCAGTCTCTGCAAACCTTCTTTCCTTTGAACGCAGGCGTAAACAAGTCTTCTCACCTTTGTCGGTGAAATCGCTACTTTTCAGCACATCTGTGTCATTTTTTGAGCACTGTAAGGCATGACTAAGCTGCTCTTTTTAAGCCAAGTTTCTTTTTTTAAATGGTATGTTTCATTTAACTTGCCATACCATGAGGTGGTGATGCATTCCTGAAATGCTTCATTTACTCTTGAGATCATTTCCTGAGCTTGCAGCTATGCAAGTCTCATTTCTGCCCTTTACTTTTCACTTGAAAGTGTTTTATTTTCACACCAGGGGTTTCTCCTTTCATGGGGGTATTTTGTCAGAGTCTCAAAGCGCTCCGCTAATAGTCATAACTCTTCCAGATGTTAGCTTATTAACCATGACACCCCCTTGCCCGCCCCTAAATGGCCCACCCTGTCCTAACTAAGCAGCACAGGTCAAAGGTTACAGCCTTCTTGCTAACAAGGTACCTCGGGGTTATTTAGTTTCAGAGGGTTTTATAGAAAGAAACATACATTTAAACAGTATCCAGGTGTTCTTTGCTCACTGCGTTTCTGCTTACGTCTCAGTATTTTACCCACCGGGTTACAAATGTGCACTTGTGAATGGACATGTCAGGCCTGCATTGATCAATATTACTGGTAACATTATTGCTATTCATTCACTATATTTTGCAGTTTAACGGTCTACTTTTAGATAACAATTTCAACCTCTTATTTAAGTTTAATCTTTTTTTTTTTAAATTAAAACTATTACTTTAAGCTTGCTATTTCAGTGTCAGGTGATCATTATTACTTCTATCCAGCTATTTAGTTTTTTATCCTTTCCTGCAACAGTGTCAATCATTGCCATAAGTTAACCATTAGTGTCGGCTAAAGCAAACTTCCTTTTGACCACCTATTGAAATTTGATCAGCTTATAACGAATAATCACATTTATCTTTGTTGTTCAAACTCAGTTTTATGACAGTGGTCGTGCTTTCAAAGAGGTCCTAAGGTATGAATTTAAAACTATTTGTATACCAATCAGCTGTGTGAATGTTTTAACATCTGCCATAAATGTTGCTTTGTAGGTCAGAAAACATCTCATTGCACTGCCAAGATGAGAGATGAGGCATGTTGTAGATGCAGTTTGCAGGATCTGTAACAAGTGCTGAATTGGAGTGTTAAGAAAGGAAAATTCCATTAAATTCTAGTGTTAAACTGAATCTTTTTCCCTAAAATTGCAAAATAGGGCAACGGTTTAGGTAGTATTTGCATGTTTGAAGTGCCTTCTTGCCTCGTTCATATCTATAAATAACCAGTTTAAAGGGAAATTAATTAAATTGTAACTTGAAAGGAGTCTCTGTGATTTTTGTGCATATTATTTAAGTTTCAAATTGATTTTCAAATTGCATTATTAGTGTAAGATGATTAGGATGCAGCCTTTTACAATCACTTTTACTGATTTTGCTTTTGGCGAGATATTTTTCTACATTTATCTACAACATTTTTTTTTAGTTCCTGTGGCTGCAAAAATAGCTTAGCAAATAATTCAAAAACCTTGACCTGTATTCTCAGATGTGACCCTCCGTGTGTGTGTATGAAGGACTCTGCATGTGCATGCAGTCCTGCCACATCATTTGTTTGCCACATCCTTTCCCATTAAGC